ATTTTTCAGTATTGATTTTGCTACAGATGCGACCTTCACTTAGGATTAGTGATTCCCCCTGGCAATGTCCAGTAAACAAACTTTTATGAGTTGGTCTCCTTTTGGATCTATAAAATACCCATAGTCTTCCAGCTGGTTTTAGTTTTGACTTTGTTCCGTGTTTTTTATTTTTAAAAATTTCTCATAGCTGTGAGCGGCACCAGAGAGTCTGGCAGCTAAGACATTGCCTATGAGCTACTGACTAATCTACTTTTTTCAAGAGCATGATGATAAGAATGGGACTGCTAGGTCTAGACCATTTTTGCTAATTCTGCCAACGTTCTATTCTGTGCCTCTGCTTCCTTCTTTGTATTGTAAAGACAATATATATTTTCATCTTTTACACTAAGAGAGTACAACTATTTGACCACAAAGCAGTTGAAAGTGTTGAGCTGTTACTCAAAACACTGAATCGTTATTTGCACTGAGTCAGTTTATGGCCTCTAAGTTGTAATCACATGTCCTGTCTTCTGTAGCTGGACCAGTGTAAAAGCTGAATGCCCCAGCTGTTCACTGCTAGAGGCATAATTGCTCTCTAGTCCTTTCAGAATAATGAGTGTTAACTTCCACATGTTTAGAAGGAGGATTTTTCTAACCTGGTTTGTTTAAAGAGAACCTGGCTAGGGAGCAATTACACATGTAGCTACACTAGCAAATGGAGGGGGTACAGTATTCTTCCCAACCCTCTGATCTCTGATGGATCATACAACAGCTGGCAAAGTTACTTCTTCTCTCAGCTTAGCTGGAATTAAACCAGGGTTGGAGACTCACAGTTGAGCTGTTCTTTACAGAAAAAGTAACATCATTCAAATCAACAGAGTGACTAGTCATACATCTCTGAGTATCATGTGCAGTATCTAACCCAAAACACCCACCGTTTTTGACAAAAATAATTTTTTTGCCACGTAAAAGACATGGGAAGTTAGGTGTTCCCAAAAGAAAAAACTTACAGGCTCACTAACCACACACAGGTCTATACCAAATACAGTAAATTAGTTCCTTGAGGTAGAAAAAACAAGCCTAAAATCTGAAGTACTCTGAATTCCTATGGAGCAAACACAATCCAGAATGTTCCTTTATAAAGTTTTTTTGAGGATCAGTTCAAAAGATGAGAGAACAGCTCCTCTCCTAAAACATTAATTCTGTGACAGTCTGATGAGACTGGTCACCAAATTGTCACTAACACTTCATTGATAGGCATCTATTCACTAGGAACTCGATTTATTGCATGGAGGCCAGAGAATTTTGCCAGGTCTTAATGCCTTTCAGCCATTACTGGCAATATTGTGACTGTGCCCAAATGTGAAAGGTGGTGTTATCAAATTATCTCTGCAGCTTTAGGGTTCCTTGACTTCCTGCACTCTATTAATGTGTCCACTGAATGAAGGAATAAATACTGCATTTTTCTCTGCCCATTGCTTTTTAATTCGCTATTTGGAAACATTATTAGTCCAAATGAAGGTATTATAAATAATCTCACCCACTGTGCAGCATTAATAAACAACTGTTTTTCTCTTGTTTCTCCAGTGGAGCAAACCATGAGCTTTTTCTTGAAAGTTACAAGGAAAAAATTGCGATGTTTGCAGGGGGGTTGTTCATTTGGTTCGTTGTTGGGGCTTTTTTGGTTAGTTGGATGGTTGGTTGGTTGGTTGTGGAAATCATCTGACAGCAGTAATTGATTTTGAGTGGATACATCTACCCTCCCCATTAAAACGCTTCCATTTAGTTAAAATGTTAAAATATTTTAACACTTGCATCATGTTGAGGGCACATTCAGCACAGGCGGATGTCTTAGACCATCCCAAAGCATAAAACTCAAGTTTTATGCCAGCTTTACAAATCTCTTGCATGGTGGTTAATTAATGAACACTGGAACTCAAACCTGGATAAAGTATCCTGGAATCTGTTACAACCATTACCTTTTTCTATTCTGTTACTTCTCTTAGTCCGTGCTACTAAGCTTCCTGTTTTTCCTCCCCTGAGGAAAAAACAGGAGAACAGTGTTATAGATGATTCTGTAACATTACAAGTGTAAAATATTATTTTTACTAGGTTATGCTTCTCTAACTACACTACCATAGTAAACCTTTTCCTACAGCTATCTATTTCTGCATTTGATGTACAATGAGTATGTATGAATCTATGGTAAATTTATTAGAATTGACTGCAGTTAGATTGTAACTTAGGTGGGTTTGGACAGACAAGTTATAAAGAACTATAGTTCCTGACTGAAAGTCAGATGTTCCTCAGTTCACTGCATGATAACCTATCAACAGTCCCATAGTTCGTGGTACTCTGGATGACTTGTTTTGGTACTTGATATTTTTGATACTCCTGTACGATGCTAACAACATTTTATTCTGAGCTTTCTGTATGCAAAAGCTGAGTCTGAAAGCCTCAAACAAGTCTTTGAAAAGTTTCAGTCTACAATTATAAGCTTCATGGAACAATGCCTTTTGCCCAAAGGAGGCATTACCTGTATGCACTTTTACTGTGCTAGTGTTACTACACATTCCCTTTCAAATTTCCCTGCATACTCCTTTTCTCCTTTATAACAGATACTTTCAATAGAGCTATTTTTAAAGACATTTTTATTATCATTGATTTAATTCATTTTTCCAACGTTTCTCTGCCTGTATCTTTTACTAAGAATTTTCCTTCCCTGCCATATACTGAGTTTTCTAGCTTTAATGTAAACAAAATGCACTTTTTGCCTGGAGATCCTGTGGAGATATTCAAAAGCCATCTGGACATGGTACTGGACAAACAGTTTTAGGTGGCTCTGCTTGGACAGAAGGTTTGGACAAGATGACCTCCCTTCTAACCTTGAGCAGTGTGTGATTCTTTGAAATTAGACAGCTAAATTAACAGGGATGCTCGACTACACACCTATCATAGGTCTTCATTCACTCATTAAGAAAATCCACAGTCGAGTGCTAATGAAGTCAATATGTGGCAAGTCTGCAACAGCTGCCCTTAACTTTCACTGATAATTGTTCTCATTTAAATGGCATAATATTCAATATACTGTTGTTGAATATAGTAATGGCAAAATTCATGCCTTGGGGGCTACAATGTGACTGAGTTTTAGCTGGATAAACTGAACTGTGACCTAATGGGGTATTTCAGGCCTTTACACCTTTCAGATTCATAGGTCACAGTCTCAGTCTGTATAAACATCTATGTAATTATATTACAAATCATTCTTGCATATACTGAGATCATTCCAAAAGGTAGTTTAAAAAAAAAATCAATATGAGCATGATTCAACAGCCTTTTAAAACAAGAAAAGTACTGATTTCAGTCAGTCTTCTTGCCTATAAGAAACAAACAATTACATTCCATGCTTGGAATATATTACCCCTAATTATTAATCACATGTAGAAACCAGCAGATTTGTAATATAATATCTTAAAAATTATGTATTTTTTTACATAAATTTCCTTACAAATCAAATTTCTTCAGCCCTCCAAATCAGTAGCATTCAGAATCCAGGAATCTAAAATGTGAGGCAATATGCACATTATCCCAGTACATATCTCTGTGGATATCTCTCACGTATCCATCTTAATTACATATATTATATAAAATGTGTAAGTACATAACCATACATTTATATCATACAAACATCATAGATATCTGCTGTACAAATATGATGGATATATCCTTATATGTTAGTTTTAGACTGGTAATGGAAAAAATGGATTCTGTTCTATTTGAATAGGTATAACAATTAGCCTTTACAAAATAGATGTCTGAGAGAACCCTGAAACAATTAAAGAGCTCTATTCCATATATGTCCTAACAAGAATAAAAATATTTCATTATTACAGTATAAACCTTTTTAGTTCTCTTTCCTAGGGCTGTTTTAAAATTCAGTACCTTTTTCTGTGAAAATCCAAAATATAGAGCATTTAAGAAAATATTTACAAGCACAGAAGGTGAAGTTTTCCATAGAATCCACATACAGCTAATTTACCTCTTCCACACAAAGTACAGAAACCAGAAGACAAATTAAGAAAGAGAGTCAGAATTTCTCAGAGCAGGTATAAATCCTGTATTTTCAATAAAGTTCTAAGCATGCTATCATTGCCTACAAAATAAAGCAATAAATCAGCAAATAAATTTTCAAGGTTTTTTAGGCATGTCCACTTGAATAACTGGATGCATTCTAGATGATGAAGAGTTCCTACAAAGTTAACAGCAATTAAGAGAATTCAGAAGTATGTAGTATTAGGTTATTAACCAGAAATAGACTTACAAAATGTAAAAATTCACTTTGGAATTTAATAGATTACGAAATTTTTCAGATAAGCAGCTATACATATATTTATGACCATATCCATAAAAAAAGCCGGTTTGTTTTTTTGTTAAACATATTTTTCCTCTGATTGTCTATTTCAGCTGATATGCACACAACACTTTATTTAAAGTTTAATTTAAATCCTCCTTATAAGGCCATTTCAATAATGGCCTTATAAGGAGGATTTTCCTGTTTACACATAAGGACACTTTCCAATATAGTAATGATCACAACCCAAATTTCATCTATACATTTTTAGGTATCTTTCTAAAGAAGGAAAGAAAAGATGACAGAGCTGCTGACTTGCATCTTAGTTTCCCAAGACAAACAGTAGCCCTTGAAAACTTGCCAGCTGCCTTTGATGGCCAGATCATACTTGCAGGTAGCTAACCTCAGTATTTGCAGTATTTAAGGCATTTCCTACAGTAAACACAAGCAAGTACAAATAAATACTATGGTATGAAGGCACCTGTATTTTTTTAGCTTAGGAAAAATTGAATATTTTATTTTGCCAGCACCACCATTAGGCTTCAACAAGCCAGACTAAATTCATTTCATATCCTTCCACCTCTTTGGGCACACCATCACTACATCCATACATGAACAACAAAAAAATCAATTTACTGGGTTTGAAAACATGCTTTGCTTTATTTCCTACCTGAAGAATGTAGCCTCGAACGTAGTCTCGCAGTGTCCAGCCTAAGCCATGTAGAATATGCAACACCTCCTCTTGCTTCAGTACACTGAAGAGTCGGTCAAGCAGTATCTTCAGTCTCACAGGCACAGCCTGAGTACCGTAAAGCATCAGGCTGCTGATGTCAAACACAACATTGGACTGCACAATCTCCACTTGGGTTGGGTGGTAGAGGTGCTGAGTACTAAGTTTGTCCAAGGCTGAAAGAAAAGGGGTCAAGTATAAGGAAAGAGCAAAGAAAAGACAAGAAAACAACTCCAAAGAATCATATTATATATATATATATAACATTTGGTAGATACACTTATTTTCCAGAGAAATATCACCTGAATGATTCATAGAAACATAGAGTCACAGAATAGTTTGTGTTGGAAGGGACCCTTAAAGATCAGCTAGTCCACTCCCCTGCCATGGGCAGGGACATCTTCAACTAGATCAGGTTGCTCAAAGCCTCATACCACCTGAATATTTTCATGAATGGGACATCTACAGCCTCATTGGGCAACTACTTCAATGCCTCAACATATTTGGAAAAATCTTTAATCTAAATCTACTCTCCTTTCCAGCTTAAAGCCGTTACCTCTTGTCCAATCACTACATGCCCTTGCCAAAGTCTCTTCCCAGCCTTTTGGTAGGCCTCCTTTCAGCACTGAAAGACCAATAAGGTCGCCAAGGAGCCTTGCCCAAGCTTCTTTTCAACTTTTTCCCTAGCTGAAGGATTCCAGCTCTTCCAGCCTTTCCTCAAAGAACAGGGCCTTTGTTCCTCTGATCATCTTGGTGGTCTCCGCTGGACTTGCTCCAAAAGGTGCATGTCTTTCCCTTGCTGAGAACCCCAGACTACTACTACTAGTAGGGGACTAATACTCCAGGTGGCATTTCACCAGAGGGGAGCAGAGGGGCAGGATCATCTACCACACCCTGCTGGCAGTGCTGCTTTTGTTGCAGCCCAGGGTACGGTCTGCTTTCTGGGCTGCAGGTGCACATTGTCAAGTTCTGTTCAGCTTTTCACCCACTGAAGTTCCCCAGGTCCTTCTCTGAAGTGCTGCTCTCAAGAAGTTCATCTCTCAGTGTGCACTTGGGCTTGTGATTGCCCTGACCCAGATGCAGCACCTTGACCTTGTTGAATCTCATGAGTTTGATATGGGTCTACTACCTCAAGCTTGTCCAGGTCCCCCTGTATAGCATCCTGGTGGGTCAACTGCACCACGCAGCTTGGTGTCATCTGAGAATTTGCTGATGGTCTTACTTTGTCATTGACAAAAATATTAAAGCAGTAGTGGTCCCAGTATGGACTCCTGACAGATGCCAGTCATAACTAAGGGATCTGTGTTCACAGATGCAGTTCAAAACAGCCCTAGTTTCCAAAGGTCACAAGTAATTTTAATTGCTATGGCAGAAAGGCTCTCAGGTGAGACTCAGAAACTACAATATACATAGTTCAAGAGAAATTTATGATTAACTAATGACCAAGACTGAAGCAATGCCAAATTGAATGGGACTGTTAAAGATTTGATACTTAATCTCTAGAGGAAAAAAATAAAACAGATACTCCCTTAACACCAGTCTCTTAAACATGTTAAAACTAAAGCTCCTGATTTACCAAAAATTTTATCATTAATTCACTGCTACTAGAGCAGGCTAGTTCTTTTCACCTGGCTTTACGAATTCCATGTTATTCACTGTGATTTGAATAATTTAGCAATAAGGAAAATTTGCAGGATGAAGGTAGTTCTTATCCCCTTGTGAAGCTAAAAAAGATGGAATTGCATATGACATCATGCATTCTGTGATGTATCAATGTTTAAATTTAATTTTATTTCTACTTCATGAACTATGTTACAGCACCTAAGCTTCTTTTCTAAACAAAATTTCTGAGCATTTAAAATAATCTTATAGGGACTTCTCCTGTACTTGGTTTCTTCTTGGCTTATGGTCACTAGAGAGTTCATGTACTGTTGATAAATTGCTTTCTTACATCCAGAGCGCAAGGGCCCTTATCATTTACTTGCTGGCTTCATTCAACACGTTTACTCCAAGGACTACATTGTCAAAGAGTTCCAGTTTCCTCATACTTCATTTCTTGCAACTGAATTGTCTCATCTTTCCTATTCTTAGTGGCTAAGTCAACTTTGAATAAATAGCTTTAAATATGAATTTATCATTTAAACAAGATAAGAAATTGTCAAGCCTAGGGACTTCAGTCTCTTCACAGGACATTTATACTGCAGAACATGAAGAGGGGGATTTTTTCTTCCGAAAGCTCTTCTTCCAAGGATATACTACATATACGTAGGCTTCATGATGTGGGACTAATTTTTTACAAGATGTAATGAATGAGATTTGACTGAAGCTTAAAGAGGTTAAATACTGTCCTGCTTCCCCCCCTCCCCCCATTTTATGTATGATCTTTTTTTCTAAGATGGTTATTTTGCTACTACCATAATAGATGTGTCATGAAAGTTCTTGGCTAGAAAAGCCAAGAAAATTGATATTTTTATTCTGCAGGTTGAGCAGTATATAGGGTGATATATGTATATATAGGTGTACCTGAGGGACTGCTCGACTTAGAAAGAATAAAATAAGGGTGTTATTTTTTCTAATACTAGCATTACTCACAGTAGGAGTGGTGTAAATAATACTAGTTTCAAATAGATACTCTGTAAGAACGCCTTCTAACAGACTCTTGAAATTATTGAGCAGATCTGGATCACCCTGAGCTTTTCAACTTCAGTCTTACAGAATGAGAATAGGGTCCAAATATATTAACTGGCTTCTCCAAGTTTATGCAAATTTAGACCACAACCAAGACATGAATGGATATTTCCTGAATACTTGATGCTTTTTAATGACTGAATCATACTGTATTTCTAGTATACCCTAATATTTGGTTTTGTTTCTCTCTTCTTAGCAGCAAATACCATGCCTGCAGTGAGGAAAAAAAAGTTCTTTCATCTAAAGAAGACTTATGCTGAGGATGTTAAGATCATTATTCTACTGTGGTCTAAGCGAGAATGACTATAAGACATCTTTATCTAAGGATTATTGGGTGGATGACAGATCTAATAGCTTTTAATTTCTCTAACAATAAGATTACAACACTCTGTGGACATATACCCACTTCATGTAAGGTGGCCATTCTGAGGATAATAGCTTTGGAAAGGTTGAGGTAGAATGGAAGAAGGGAAAAACAAATAAATTCTTTTTTAAATAACTAAGCACACTCTTTGACCAGTGGATATAAATTTTTGTAATCTAACCTCTACTATTCCATTCAACTGCAATTTTCATTTTTTAGCAACATTATCTATAGATATCTGCTTCTCAACACACACACACACACACACACACAAATACTAATTAGCATGATATTTGAACAACATTCCAAGCAACAATGATATTATCTCCAATTTTGATTTGTGGCCTTATTATGTGTATTACGTAACAAACAAGCAGTGAATTTTATCCTTTTCAGGTACAAGTCAGGATATGCAGTAAAATGTGGAATTTATAACACAACAAAACACACATTGTTGCATGGGTACATAAGAATATTTGCAAACTAAAGACAAACCTCCTGCTAAATGAAAATAAAAAGGTTGTAAATGAAATGAAACACAGTTGTGTTCATATAGGAAATAAAAGTACTGTAAAATTCTGAAATTCTTTCTGAAAATTAACTGCTGATACCTCTTCAAATTGTCAGAATGAAAATTCTCACTCTAATTTGTAATTTATAAACATTTTTGTGTTTCTTTAAATGATTGCTAAGGATGTAGTTGACAGAGAGAATTTTTGTAGTATTTCTTATTTCTCTTCTGATACTCTTAGTGAACTAATGCCAGTGTTCTAGGTGGATTCAAGAGGCCATTTATGTTGATAGACACTTTTTCAGTTAAGAGGTAAGGAAGGACCTATCTCGATGGTTTTCTGTAAAGAAAGGAGTATTACTTAGCCTTATTGACAAATTTCTGATTTTTGTCAAATCTCTGTGTAAATAGTTGTATTCTGCTGTCCTGAACTGCCCACATAATTTCATGTGGATAATACATTCCTCATCACCCTCTGCTCTAAACCATTGGTTTAATTTATACAGGCTAGTGAACAATGAAAACTGCTTTACAGGTGAATACATTCAAAAGTATCTGCAGGAGTTTATGGTTTCATAAGCGCTACGAAGGTTTCAAGATTAAATATGCCATACCAAAGAATGTGCTCTATCATACCTGAAAATGACATATACAGATGCGTCTTTATTAAGACGTTATCAGCGACTGAATATCACAAAGCATACATTAGAAGTCCCTTCCTGGTGCAGGATGAGGTATTATTGACACTTTGTACAGTTCTAGTGGAATCAAAAGTTCACCTATGCGTGTTTGAGACATTTTAGTTGTAACCTGCACAATCCTTTCCAACACCATGACTATGATGACATCAGTTATGTACTTAAACTAAGAAAGGTACCTTTTTTTAACAGTGCAATTTAATTGTCAGCACTGCCCTGACAGTCTGATATTCTTTAATATTGTATATGTGAAAAAATGTTCTCTGATGCAGGAAGAAGAGATCTAACAAATCTTAAAATTACATACTTGCTGAGCAGCCAAAATTTTCATCGTGGCCTAAAAATGTGTTTTACTCTCACAACACTCAGTCAAGTAACATTTCTGTGGTGAATTCCCAACTTCAAGTACTTGTTTTAAAGGTGGAGGTAGCAAGGATTGTGTAGAGGACATTAAAGAAGACTGCCTTCAACAATGAAAAATTACTAACTGGATGATTAGTACAGGAATTAGGAACCTTTCAACATTGTTTTTCCAACTCTGAAGTATCAAGTATGCACCATAATAACTGAGAACATTTTAACTGGAAGGAACTAAAAATGACCATCTAATCCAACTACCTGAGCACACCAGGGCTGATCATCAGTTAAACCATATTGAGAGGAACCATCCTGAGAGGATTGTCCGAACGCCTCTGGAACAGGGAGTGGCTTGGAGCACCAACCACCTCTTAAGGAAGTCTGTGGTTTGACCACCCCTCTCATTAAAGAAGTGTTTCCTAAAGTCGAGCCTGAACCTCCCCCTGTTTCCTTATTCACTCTTTATCTTCTTGAATAGAAAAAAAGATCCCTCCGATTTCAGAGAGACTCTGCTCAGTATCATCTGAAATGCCAAAAAAACTTTGAAATTGTTTCAAT